AAAAACTGCAAGGAACTCTGCAAAAAACGCATCTTCGCACGGGCAGCCCGTGCGTTGGCCAATTTTCCTCTCTTTCCCAGCAAAATTTCAGCTCGGAAAAAAAGATTCCAGAATTTTTAACGAGGGGCCACTGCTACCACTGTGGCCATTCCCCGCGCGCCACTGCCTGCCACAAAAAGCGAATACGGAGGAGAAGGAGGTTGACTGTTAACTTAAAATTATAAAAAAAAAGTAACTGAAACTAAAAAACTACGAAGAAACTGAGACAAAAAAAACCAAAAAAAAAAAGATATTCGAGAAGTGGAACGAATGTCCATTACTCAGAATAGGAGCAGTTTTCAAAAGTAACACAACAATGTCACGTTCCAGTGCTGTTGTATGGAAGTGAAACACGATTTAACACAATTTGTTGAGGAAAAAAAAGTTGACTGTCACTCAACGAGCCAAGTAATTACGGTGGTATTTAGATGCACCAAGCTTAAAACAAACAAAAACGGGGAATCTGTTCAGAGCAATGAATGCGCGAAGAAAAAAGATAGCACAAACCTCAGTTTCATTCAATAAATATTGATACAAATTACATGCACCCTCAACAGCTAGCTGAGTTCCGGAAATTCTCGAAAGCTTTTTGATCGATGTGGACGAAAAGATGATTGGCATTGAGAATCTTAAGCAATATGCGGCTGGCAATTGGCGTCCCGAAGTAGCATTACGCCATTCACCACTGCAAAATAGTTTCAAAGGAAATCTCCTCCAGACAAAAAAAAACTACCTCACAAGTCCACCAAACTACTGAAAACCTAAAATTCGGCTGCTTCAAATATTTCGCTTATCGACCAGTTCAAACCACGGATGCATTGGCCAAGAGTAAAAGCATTCAGTAGTGTCACAAGTCACCCGACATTGCGCTGTCGAAATCTTCAGCCACAAAAAAAATCACCCCTTCCCCTCCTCCCCCTCTCTCCCCACCCTCTCCTGTTATCCTCCTCTTCATACCCTATAAGCTCCTCCATTATTCCCGACTCGTCACATGGGAGTAGTCCGAGTGAAGCGCACTGCCCCCTCCCCCAAAAAAAATATACCAGCTCGTACCAGTTTATTATTAAACCAAATTTTGCAAAAACTAATTGTTTTGCAAAAAAAAAAAAGACAAAAACTATCGCTGATGGAGCACATACTGTGAGAAAAGCGTCGCATCCGGGAAGAAATTTGACGTTTCGTTTGAAACAATGCAAAGCTGAAGATACGGCTCGATATCGTACAATACTGAAATTAATTAGTTGTTATATCAAATTCATAGTGATTGTATCTTAGTGATTTCCTAAAATTCAACTATCATCAATATGCCCGGCTTTTAATCACATATCAAAATCAAATATTTTAAGGTAAATTTTTTTTTTAAAATCACATGAAATACAGATCTATGATAGTACAAGTTGGACTAATTTTCTCGTAATTATTGAATTTTTGTGCATAAAGGAACTTGTCCTGCAGAAGAAATGAAACAAACCCTGCTGATCGGTTGGGCAGTTGATACGACCGGAGGCGCTGTCAAAAAATGTTACTGTTTCAATGAATGGATATATGGTGCACGGTGATGATTCGGTTCGCGGTTTACACAAACCCAAAATACCTCCGTTGATCTGCTCAATCAGTGACGGTGCGCTGCCGGCCACATTCACAAGATCTTTTGATGCACAGTCCAGAGATTGCATGCAAAATAATTTCTCATCTCTACAATCAACACAGGTTCATCGGAAGCAACTGATGTAAAATTAAACAGTTTCTGCTTCACCAGGACCCGCCGTAGTCATCGGCGAAAGGCTTTTCACGCAACCCCCCCCCCCTTCCCCTGCCCTCCACCGGCGGCACAGACAAGAGGGGCTGCAAAAACCCGGGTCTAAAACTAAAACTAAAGTAAACTGAAGCATAAAGTAACTCTAAGCAGCAGAATGTCACAACTCTATTTCTA